GAGAGGCATCATTAAATCGCGGAATGTTCCGGAGGCCTCGAGCAACGAGGATCCCGAGAAATGGCACACGAACGCGGGGCAGTTAGTCATGCTTTCTTGATCCAGGCCAGTTCTACGGTGGTGTCCAGGGTTGCTGAACGATGCCATATCGAAATAAAGGGTCGTACTAGTGCAATCACCCGCGCTATTCTTTCCTACCGCGAGTATCTGCCACCAAGGAGCGCGAGGGAGAGGTGGCCATATCTCGTGCCGTCTGTGGAGTCAAGCCTGCAAGCTAGAGGCCAGGCTGCTTTTCTGTGAACAAGACATTGGACATTGGAGACTACGTGTCTTTGAGCTGCGCGAGAGGCACGAGTACGTACAACTGAACCCTGCTAAGCGCAGGGTGTATTTGAAATCGAAATGGGTCGCTATAAAATGCCGCCAGCGCCGTCCTTTTCTGTGCAAGCACAAGAGGTGCTTGTCAAGTGACCTTGAGTAGGATAGACTTCCAGAAGATAGCGCCGTCAGCCACTATCCTAGTAGGACATAACATACCCGGCCACCGTGCTCACCGGAACGTTGATAACGATACGGTACCAGGCTGCATGTCTTCAGCGTCGGCGGTACTAGCCTGTAGCGATATTGCCTCGAGCCTGAGTACTGCCTGAGTACTTTTGAGTTTCAAAGCGTCTCATTTGCTCACGGTGAAGGTCAACTTGAAGGACTTTGTACTTGCCGCTCAGAAGATTTCGGGCGTCTATTTGATAGTCATTCCAGAACAGGCAATCAAGAAAGATCGCGCAAGCCCAGGTGCGTATTTGGAGTTATTGCTCATTCACTTCTTCATCAGACGAATGCACACGAAACAGATTATATTTTACTGCCTCCGAGGATGGCGATGTAAACGAAGATGAGAAGCGAGGGCGAGCAGTTCGTCGGATATCTACATATCCAAACACTCAACAAAAGAAGACGCGGAACGCTAGAGGACACAGGTATTCGCATTGCCATACAATTTATCATCCGCAGCGCACATGGACACGGTTGGCGCTACTCGTTCGGACGTGGAGGCATGGGAATGTGGACACCGTTCCCATCTTCACCGGGTCCGCCCTTGAACGAGACAGTCTGATGCTCACCTTCCGTTGGGTTCATCCCACCGGTATGTGCGACCTTCCTGTACAGAAAGTGCACACTTCAGTCGGTACAGCTATCCACGAGGGCCACGACTCTCACCTGACATTGGCCCGTTTGGCTTTCGGCTTGTGCTCCTTCGCATAATCCATAATCGCCTCTTCGTGCATTTCGCGCGCCCGGCCGCGATACCGCGGGTCGCTGCGCTCAAGATCTGCCAGCTGTTGCTTTGCTTGTTCCGTGAAGTGAATCTTCAACGACGGGCTCTGTCTGGAGACAGAGATGATACAACAGATGCAAGAGAATAGACGGCTTAACTTACGGTGCAATGGTCTCTGCGTCACTGATAGGTGCAGACGAACTGCCATTCGGGAGGACTTCCGCTGGAGAGCGAGAGTGAGACGCGGCGGGTACGCTGCGCGAAGAAGGGAGCGGGCTCTCAGCAGCAGGACCACGATCAACACGCGCTTGACCTCTGCCCGGGACCGCGCCCCCACTGGGAATGAGATACAGTTAGCGCTTCTTCCATGCTGATAGCGTTGGCTATTTACGAAGACATGTCATGCTGGTGCACACGCTGCTGTTGCGGTACCTGGTCCCGCGGGTATCTGGACGCTTGAGTATCTGGGGCACCGCTTGCATACTGTGCTGGCGACGCGGCATGTACGCTACGCGAAGAAGGGGGCGAAACTCCAGCGGAGCGGCGGTCAACCTGCGCTTGACCTCTCTCCAAGGACGTGCCCGCACTGAGCATGGAACATGGTTAAGGCACCCTTAGCGTCAATACCGTTCATTACTCACGGAGGCACACCATATTCGTACCCCTGTCGTTGTTTTGACTCGCGGGGCTGCGAGTAGTTGGACGCCTGAGTACCTGGCACACTGATGGCGTATTCAGACTGGGTTTGCGCAGACACGGAAACGCTGCGCGAAGGAGAGAACAAGCCTTCGTCAGCGACTCGCGCCTGTGCTCTGTCTGGGGACACGCTCATGCTGCGTACGAGTTTAGTATAGTCAAGAATTCCTTCATGTTGGTAGTATCCACTACTCACGGGACCATACCATGTCCGCTCGTCTGGGACTGCTGCGATTCCCGGGGCTGTGGATATCTGGCCGCTTGGGCCCTTGACACGTCGTTCGCATGCCGCCCCTGCCTGTGCCGTTCGTCTCTGGCCGACTGGTCACTCCGGCTTGACTGCTGATTGGAGCTCATGTTGTTCCCTCTGACGCTGAACATTGTAAGTCAAATAGGCCTCTCAAACGCGCGAAAAGATTCCTTACAGTAGACCTATGTGTAGTCTCTGAGGCCACGACGGCGGACACCCAAAACGCCAATCTTCCTTCTCAGTTATAAACTGCAGCACTCATGGTAGTCGTAATACGGCACAGCTAGCCGCAGCATCCTAGGAATGTGGCACATTCGGAGGACATAACCTTGAACTTGTGCAATGAGGCAAATCATCTGCCAGGCTGTGAACGCCGTGAGAGGAGCAGCGAGCAATACGGCGCTTCCTACAGTTGTTTCAGCATCGTCTTCTCAATTCAGAAAGGACAGCTTACCTGGAGCGTGATTGATACATTCACCGATGCGTACGGTCTGTAGTTCATAGAAAAGCTATGTTATCCTAGGAATCCTCACGTCTACCTCGAGGAGCAACACAGCACAGACCCTGGCCTTTCGTCAGGATTCATCGTGAGAAGATTCAAACCTCACCAGCCACGCCAGAACCTTAGTATCGCATGATGGAAATCCTAAGCAGTCACCAATCAGATTTCCGTAACGTATTATAATAATCACACAACAGACACACCTGACGGGGCACGCTAGTGACGGGTTGCAGGGTCATATGCATCCCAAAGCGGTCAAGGCAATATCCAGGCGGGATGACCAGTCGCAGAGACGCGCCAAACCTTGGTCTCTGTCGGCGCCTTGCGAAAAGCGGGTGCCTTGTACGGATTCATGCCAGCTTGTGGCCCAGCCAGACCCAGTTCTGTCCTACGGAGGCGTCGTTCGGTGTTGAGATCTGAAACAGAAAGGATCACAGCCTGAAAACTGGCGCAGTGCAAAATATTGCAAGACCTACGGCACAGGCAACCGGTTGATTTAGCAATGAGCACCTCCAGCGATAGATGAAGTTCGTTCAGAGGCCAGCTGACAGCCGAACAACGGGAAGGGCAGGTTACACGGTAACTAGAAGCTCTGTATTGGGAGAACGTAATCATAATCATCGCGTAATAGTGGCGAGTACTTGCACATACCGTGTGTCACAAAAGCGGGGTATATCTCCCACGCAGCGACCATGTAGTATGATGGTGCGGCACTATGAACTTAGAGCTTAGCGGATCAGAAGCTTTGAACCCCCGTTCCCAATTTTAGGCTTCATCAGAGGAACTAGGTTGTGTCCAGTGGTAGGCGGAAACGTCTAGAGAAACTAGCCTACCTCTCACAGAAGTCTGTCCTGTAAGCGAAACTCAACGATATACCAGTTTTAATCGACCTATGGCGAAGTTAGAGAAGACGGAGACCAACTCTTGGATCGGAAAACTGTGCGGTCCCAGTAGACCTGGCCACCAGTCCTGCCAAGCATCGTATCTATCAAAACTCCTACCGCGCCATCAGCTGCAAAGTTCGACGTTCAGCTCTGGATAAGTACAGCCTTCTTTTCCGAAGCGGAGAGCCTCACTCGTTGTCCCGGGAGTCTGCGATGTCATGGAACCGACGCTTCAGTGCAGAGTATCATTCGTTCGAAGCCTTCTCTCCACGTCTGGCATGCCACCGCCGGAGTTGATAACAAGGAATCTTCCTAGGACCCAGCCACCGTGACGGATGTTACTCGTATCTGTCACGACAACCGTGACAAAGTATTTACGTGACTAATTTCGCTGAAATTAAGTTATGCTAAACGTGAACATCGCTAAGGAGGTAGTCGTGTGATAACCTGCACAGCATCCACGGTATAACAGCCTGCGAAGGCGGGTAACGCGCATTCTCCACTCGTCCGCCTTCGCAGAACTCTTCACAAGCGTCTTGAACTCGCCATGATCGTTTTTATCAAGAGTTTAGCAAATGTTTTCACTAACCTTTTCTATGGAGCTCCAGCAGTGCCCGACCCCGAGGATTTACGTGCTACTCCTGTGCGCGAGCGCGAACTCGCGGACTTTTACGAGGGCGTTCCTGGCGAGGTCCTGCACGGATACAAGCTCCAGGTCAAGCTCGGGGGCGGGGCACACTCAACCACTTGGCTCACCAGCAGCACCAACAGGTGAGTCTTTGCCCCGATCTCCCGGATTGTAGATGCCTTCGACGGTTCACTTGACGTGCAGAACAGGCGGGGCTCGACGCAATACCGTGCGGCCAAACTCTTGTCTCGGGATGCCACCCAGGAGGTCCACAGAGGCATCATGCTAGAAGTGGAAGCAATGAAGAAGCTCCGCGAGCATGGCGATTTTCCAGGGCTACCGATGCTCCACGATGACTTCGAGTTCCTTGGTGGTGCACACATCTGTCTGGTCATGAATGTCCTAGGCTCCGACATAGGGTCTTTCCGCCGCTCTGCAGACAACAAGGCGCTCCCCTTGAACGTCGTGCGCACCATCATGCGGCAAGTCACCGCTGCGACAGCGTACCTCCATAAGTGTGGGATCGTGCACACAGGTTCGATCTGTTGACCGTTTCCAGGTGGATATGCCATGCTGACTTCTTGTAGACATAAAGCCTGACAACATCTTATTCCATACGTCGATGGGCGCCCAGGAGATTGACAGCTGGCTTTCCAACGTTGGCGATGAAACCGAGGTGCATCCCTTGCCCAATAATTGGGCCACTGACTGTGGCCCAGAGGAAGCCGAGAAAATCAAAGTTTCTCTTGTGGATTTAGGCCAGTGTGAGTCCGTTCCTAGTTCCGCAGCTCATCCGTGCACTGATATCGACACTTTTAGGCCAGTGGGTCGGGCAAACCCCGACCGTACAACAGTTTAGTGCATATTCCCTTCGGGCACCCGAAGTCATCCTACAGTGTGACATCGGGCCTGGAATCGACATTTGGGCTATAGGCTGTGTCGTGCGTGTCATTTCCTACCATCTCCGCAGCACAGCTCACAGGGGCGGTTTCTAGGTCTTTGAAATGCTCGTTGGCCGGTGGCTGTTCCATCCCATTGCTGGGGACGAAGACTGGACCCTCGAAGATGATCACCTCGCGAAGATGATGGAGCTGACCGGCGAGCAATTCAGTGCGCGCATGCTTGCGCGCTCACGTCTGCGCGAACAGTATTTTGACGATCAGGGTGCGTCTCTCCGCGCTCCGGCCGTAATGCTGGATACGATCTGACACTCTACCCAGGGAACCTCCTCAGAGTGGAGGAGCTGTATCCCGTCGCGATCGAAGACGCGATGGCCAACTACAAAATTTTACCTCAAGAGGAAGTTGGACCGGCCGCGAACTTCGTCCGCCACTGCTGCCGCCTTGACCCTGAGGATCGACCTACAGCAGAAACACTGGTAAACCATCCTTGGTTTTCTACGGGGCCCCCTTAGGCGGGTTTGGTACTCCTCGCTTGCGCTGGACACTTTTTCTACTGAACACGCTGAGCCGTGCACTTCTGAGGGTGACATCTGGCGTGGTCCGTGCTCATCTCCGCTTCGTGTCCGTCCCTCGTCTGGTTCATCCACTCCTATGGGTCCCGGCGGGGACTTAAATTCGGCCGCAAGATGGGGCTCGCATACGTATTGGTGTCCGAAATATGTTTGCATCATATGCAATTCCCTGTCGCTCTTTTCCCTTTCGCTTGTTCAAGTTTCGCTGCTTCGTCGTTTTCCTTATGCGTGCCGTGCTTTGGCCTCCAGATTTCTAGATGGAGACAATCCGGCGCTATTCGATGGGTCTTCCGCCCGATGGACCCTCGCGCGAGCTCTACGTGTATTGCTCCTCCTTTTTTTTCACTCCTCTCAATCACCCGGATAGCTCATCGATGTTAACCTGCTCTCGTTTCATCATTCTCGTTCCATTGCTAGACTAATTCTCCGCAGAAGTCAATTAAGCGATTCGACCCTGGTGGTTTGTTGCGGCTCGGATGGTAGCATTCATCATCGTTATGCTATGCTCCTTGGTATGGGTGTCGTCCATTCACTCGGACTTCTCTATCCTCCCCATTCATTTTTTGGTTGAATGTACCTTGCCAGTGTTTTCGTCTATAGACATGAGATAAATAGCGTCGTGGTTCCCTTTCAGTTCTTATAGCCCCATCCGCCTTGGCGCCTCTTTCTTTCTCGCTATCTTCCCCCGTTATTCTGATTGGCTCGACATTAAGTTGTATGCTTATTGATTGATGTACTATAGCGTTGATTTGAAACTTGAACAGATACTACAACTCAATATTATTTCTTCGTCGATCCATGGTAAGAATCGAGAACGAGAAGCAGGGAGAGTGGTGTGTCGAGCGCATCGCCGCTGTCAACCGGGGACATGACCTATATCTGCTCAATTTTGTGCCCGTCCGAGCTGACGACAGCTATCGCACCTGCACACGACGACATCAGCCGCCAGCTGGGCGGCTGACGATGCAGCAACCCTTTACGAAGCCGGAAGCGCCGAAATTGCTACACCCAAGTTTATCACTACATATACGACAGGAAGAACCAATCCAGACGACTTGAAATCGCGCGGCGTACCAACTCTTATCGCCCCGACTCCGACTCATGCCGGCAGAATGTTCGCGCCGATCGCCGACCAACCAAGCAAACTACAAGCGGACCCTGTAGGCGCATGACACAACGAACACGATCCCGCCATCAGTTCCATTTCCAGGCCCCGCACACCCATTACAGGTCCGCGGCCCTGGTTCGCGGTTGCGCACGGCTCCGGTGTTCATCCGCTCTCGACCGTCAAGTCACGGGCCGTGTAGAGCGGCCTGCGCCATCCGTTCTGCGTGTTGTTGGGCTCGTACGTCGGGCTCACGTGCTCTCCTTCGTCCGCATTGCCCGCGTAGGGATGCGCCGCCTTCCTGCCGCTGCGGATAAGAGCGAGTCAGCATCTGGAGACTAGACACACGATAAGACCCACGCGGTGCCCGGCTGGGCGGCTAGGACGTTCGCTACTACACCGTTACTGGGCGCGGCGACGGGCTGGAGAGGTGCGGAGTGAGCAGTCGTTTCCGTGGCAGAAGAGCGACTGAACCGCACCTGGCCGCTGTTCGCGGGGGCAGTCGCCGCGCTGCTGCAGGACGAACGCATTCAGCGCACATTTCCATGCCAACCAGAGGCGAGACTCACAAGACGGCTGCGTTCGACGCTTGGGCGGACGAGTTCATGTCGAAGATGCAAACTTGCAAACAGCGGCTGGTGTTGAGGAGATTGGGTCGATGCTGCACAAGGGGAGTAGATCTCCGGAGCTTTATATCGTTAGCAAACCGAAGACACTGCTTGTGCTCCGTATGGCAAAGCAGTCCATATGTCTGATGAGCTCGGCGTCGTGGACAAAGATCACTGCGCCGGAGAATGAAGCTCGCCCAGCAGAGCTCGTTGGTACAGCCTATATGCTACCTAGGAGGACCATCCTTGGTACAGCATATGTCAACAAGGGTCCGCTTTTGCCAGTAGTTGCGAGGTGTGGAAGCTTGTGTCGAGGCGGTGTGGCCACGTCTTACCGCTGTCCATAGGAAGCAGAGCATGCGACAATCTCGTTCAAGGGAAGCCGCCGTATAGATGGTAGAGCCGTACACCTCTATATGGACCTCCTTGCTTTGTTGGGTATCAAGGAGTAGATGCACATTGTACCTATGAAATTTAGTGAAGAGACCATCTTAAAAATGTTTCCTAATTACGACGCACGCGCCGTGTCTGGGGAATCATGAACACTGTGGTGACCGGGACGGCCTAAGTTCTCAATTGCCTTATCGGGACGAGCACCAGGCCGGCAGACGCCCAACGATGCGGGTATTTGCGCGTTCGTTTAGGCCCTGGATGCGGGTCGTTTTACGATCATTCTCACTTCAAACGCCCTTTGCAAGCCGTCGAGTCGCGCACAGCATTTTTGTGGGTGGAGGTGATAAGGACTGCTTATACCAGAGCCTATGTCAGCCTCACGGTTTTCGCTATCCATGTAAGTGAGCGGTCATGCAGTGACCCGAACTGCTTGCTCAGTGTTTACCGATATCATGTAGGAAACTCTCGTAGAAGCACTTGTCTCTTACGTGTCCGCACCTTTGTAGGTTGTGCATCTTTTAGCCCGCAGCATAACAGCTTGGGCTTGGTTAACCCAGTTTCTACCGCATACCAATGCGTGATATGCAAACTGGACTTCATCATATGGTGAGTCAAGTCTTTCTCACAGCTGCGAAAACCTGTGCTCAAACATAGGCAGCCCCTATCATCACTACTACACCACCTAGGCGATGTGAAACTTACTATGCCCTTTATTCGTAGTATGCCCAGCATACAACCGTGAGACCCTGCCAAGCTCGATTCAGATGCTTTTGTCCTGCAAACGGCAGGTCTGGTGATGTGTCAAGACACAGATGCAGTGCAGAAAATCTGCATGCTTTCGAAGCAGCCATGTGGACTCAACATGTCAGAATTCTACCAATCAAGGCTCTCGCGGAGAGATGCGCATGAGCCACCCGGATTGGTTCCACCAGAATGGGAAATTTTTCTGCGACAATCAATTCTGTTGGATTGAAAGTGGGCACGTAAGAAACGAGCTCACCGGACATTGGCACGGATTGCATCCGGGCAATGCTCCGCGGCATACTCCCTGGCTAGCTGATCGTGAATCTCTCGTGCCTTTTTCCCATACCCCGGATGCATGCGTTCCAGATTCTCCAGCTGTCTCTCAGACGGCACTATGAAGTGGACGTTGAGGTCAGTATGAGGTGGCCTACGATCGATTCATGTCAAACGAAATTCAGCCACTCAGGCCGGGCCTGGAAGCACTTACGCCCTGGTCCTCCGCTGAGAGCCACCGTCATGCGCGTTACTGTTCTCCGGATTTTTGTGGGTCCTAGACAGTAGATACAGATAAAATCACTAGACGTTCCTTAGAGATGACGTCTCCAGACCAGCAACTTACGGCTTGGCACCGTCGCCCACAGCGCCCCCCAAAGCCTGCGCAGGCTGGACTTTCTTGCGTGCCTGCTCTCTGCTGGTATCGCTCTTGCGCCCGAATGGACCCATGTGTGGCTGAGTAGCAATGTATCAAATGCTTGTCCCCTAGGATGCGCAAAAAGCCGCATACTGTGAGGGCCTGGGAAGGCAACAGTCGCTACCTCAAGGACACGATCTCTTGCGAGTTATAAACTTGGATCCTCTGGAGTATCAGTGCCGCTATGTGCAGCTCCTTGATACGCATGCCTGCTGAACGAGCGTCCTAGGAAGAGGTACGTGAGAAGTCAAACTTCGTCTGCTATAGTGATTGATTCCTGAAGCTGGCTGTAACGGCATCTATTGTCCGCTCTCGCGTGTGAGATGAGGACGAAGTCGACTAACCCTGCACATCTCATGTTTACCATGAGGACGTGCGGCGCTGCCAAAGCAGGTTCCTAGTGTTGGATTCGTGGGAGGATGTTCTTGCGGCGTAGTAACAAAGTTCAGCTTAAACCACCTGAGGCCACAGTAACGCTGCATGCGGGATGGCGGAATATTCTAGACGAGCAGATAAGGCAGCATAGACCCAACGTCTAACCGCCTGAGCCAACTCATCCAAGTCGGCCAGCTCAGCCAGACTTCTCTGCGTTTTTGATGTGACCGGCTGCTGGCTACACGCGGGATGACTCGTGCATTACACCTACAAGTGACTATCTGTGTCGACAGTCGTGGAGCAAATCTCGAGCCTACCTCAGGTAGACTGCAGGATATGCTCGACACGACCGTATAGTTTTGACACACCGCCAATGGCGACTGCGTGTAGACGCCCAAAGACCGAACCCGCGTCGTTCATACTTCAAAGCTTCACGGCCGATGACGTGGCCGCCTTTCGCATTGTCAAAAACTTCTTCGAGAGAAAATAACATGATATGCCCACCTAAATTCCTACCACCATACCAGTCCCACTGTCGCTGGCTTGGATTGCAAACTTAGAGAGCACGCAACTTGAAGTGTGCCAGAGCGCCTCGACAAGTGCGGACAACGCTACAATCAGACTGGCATTAGCTGACATCCATCTGGCATTATGAGCGCTTTAATATCCGCGAAGGCGGCGAAACAATCGTCGGATCATTGACAGTGAGCCTGCAACGGGAGAGAAAGCATTAGCGGGCTGTTTTGGATAGCATACGGAACATAGGACGCCGGAAATCCCGCTGACCGGGAGCAGTGCGAGATCATAGAGAGGCGCAGAAGTATCAGCTGGAAGCTCATGCAGCTCGCATTCCTCATGGGGCTAAGTAAGCAGCACCCAAGGTCAGAACTCGCACCTTGAGAACAAGAATTGTCGGAAGCGAAGGTGTACTACTATGCTGCATGGCGCGATGCCTCAAGTATCGTAGCCTGCCCTATGGGTAGCATTCCACTCATGGCATCTACCTAGGAGCTAACGCTCGATTCATTACGGCTCAATGCGATGCAGCTGTGGAGCCTGATATCCAATAAATGTTTGTGTGATATTCGCTCGCCGCCCATTTGCTTTCCGCTGCGCGTGGCGGGGTAGAAATTAAGAGCTTCTCCAATTTTGGCTGGGAATCGCAAGAGCACTGCGTAAGTATCTCCACTGCAGAGCTTACTGTAACACACGCTTTAAATTTGATATGTCGAAGTAAGGTGGAAATGGAAAGGGGGGCTTAATCTTGCTAAATGCTAGTACAAACATGTTATAAAATACTACGTAAAGTGTGTCAAAAATGAAACTTTATGGGCGAGGAGGTGGAGGGACGTACTAGACATTTCTGGGGGTGTCTCGCGATATGCATGGTTGCCTGCACTTTGACATGCTGTGATGCGACGCTACTAAACCAGCTCGTGTTCTCCAAATAGAATGAGGGGTCGTTTCCAGACTCCAAATTGAGGCATCGCTTCAGCTGAGTCGAGACGCATGGTGGAGGCGTGGTGTTCTGCCTCATCTGCCTGTATAGGAGCACTTGGCTATGTGCATTAGATTTCGACCTCTGGATTCTCCAGCTTCTCATCGTGAGCTGAAGATCACGCGACCTACACAAACTTACAAACCAACTTAGGAATTCGCTGGACATCTACAGGTCCTAATAAGTTTCGACGGTGAAGCGTTGAGCGCTGAACGATCACAAGGCCGCTGTGATCGCATCACTAGTACTGTAGTAATTGTACCAGTCCGGCGGCGCGGTGTGACACGTGACGGTCAACCACCAGTCCATCGACGGCCCAGGCGTGACCCTACAGAGGCAGTCGCAAATAATCAGTCTGCATGCAGAGACCCCGTCCTATGGCGATGTCTCTAAGTCATCCTCATCTTTCTTCTAGCTGATCGTCATAGTCCATTGAGAGCATAGAAACCGGTGGTATTTGCTGCCACCCGCAGATAAGATGGCTGCTCCATTAAGCGCTGATTATTGGCAGCAAGCGAACTTCCGGCGTTCAGCTGTGCATCAGATTCTGTCACACGCTCGTTCTATATAATGCATGCCCACTATGCCCGCAGTTGGTTTCGCTGGCCTGAGATGGCATCCTTTATCTCCTATATCCCCTTGCTACCGAATATCCTCGCATTCTTAGGCTGGCGAACCGACCCCGAACACCTCCCGGACTACTACCCTGCTCGTCGTCACGAAAAGTTGAAAAAGCGATACCGGGTCGAGACGAGATTGGGATCCGGCGTATGGTCCAATACGTGGCTCGTGAGCGACACAGCTGCACCGTAAGAGCACTTTTTTCTCTTTTGACCGTCCACTGACATTTTCCGTTCTGCAGGAAAAGCAGGCGATTCTACGCGATAAAGATCCTTACCCTCGATGCGACCAGCGAACATCGTGCGGGGGTGATGCTCGAGCTCGAAATCATGAAGAAGGTTCGAGACGGCGGGCCAATGGGCCACCTGCCCACACTCATCGACGACTTCGAGATCCCACGGCCGCGAGGAAATTACCACATTTGTTTGGTTATGGAAGTGTATGGCCAAGACGTTGCTACCTTCCGCCGCAGCTCCCCTAACAAAGCATTGCCCGTGCACACGGTAAAAGTCATCGTCAAGCAGGTCCTCCAGGGCGTTATACGCTTGCATGAGCTGGGCATCGTCCATACAGGTACGCAGTTATGCATTCTGCTTATCGACTATCGGCTCACAGAAAGTAGATATAAAACCAGACAATATGCTCTTCCACACCGAAATGAGCCCGGAAGCTATTGAGAAGTGGCTTGGAACGCTTCCCGCAGATCCAAGTGACGCTTGCTACCCACTGCCCGCCGATTTCAAGTGGGATGATCCTCCAGAAAGGGTGAAGGACATGAGGATTACGCTAACAGACCTCGGTCAATGTAAGAAATTACATTTCGCTACTAAATTCGCATTCGCTGATAATCGAAGCAGCCCAGCATGTCGGGCCGGTTGGCGAGCAGACAGTGAAACAGTTCAGTGCCTACTCCCTCCGCGCACCTGAAGTTATTCTCCGCTCTGACTTCGGAGCTGCCATCGACATCTGGGCGATAGGGTGCATCGTCAGTTGTCTGCCCCCCTTTCGTCGCGCATATACTCATACTATCTGCGCTGCTTCTATTACAGGTCTTCGAGATGCTCTCTGGCAGATGGCTCTTCCATCCTGAGAGCGGTGACGAGGACTTCAGCCTAGAGGATGACCACCTAGCGAAGATGATGGAGCTCACTGGGGAGCGCTTCAGCTCCGCAATGCTCCAACGTGCACAACTCGCCCAGGAATACTTTGACTCGCGCGGTATGCCGTCCCTTCGCTGTTCCGTGCGCAATGCTAACTCAAGGACCTCTAATCTAGGCGACCTTCTCCGAGTTTCAGAATTGTACCGTGTTGAACTTAAACATGCGCTTGCCAACTACAAGACGATTCCCGAGGATCAGCTCGGCCCTGCAGCAAGCTTTATTCAGGGATGTATCCACTTGGAGCCCGCTGACCGCCCAAGTGCAGTCGCGCTTCTGAACCATCCCTGGCTGCAAGACATGTAACTGCCACTTGTCCCCGCTAGTTTAGATAGGCCTGAGGCCTAACGCGGCTGGTGCGGGGAAAGCGCCTAACTTGGTCCGCAGACAATTTGGTAAGTGCGCTGTTTATTCACGATCTCGTATAGACTCATCTGTCTCTTTGCATAGCATTTGAGTTCTTACTCACGGCACATAGCCCCACTGAACTATCTGAAATATGCAGCCGCATGTCATGCCACCCCACTTCGGTGTACTGGGGTGTCCTTACACTGCACGACTTGATGATCGCAGCGCGTCATCCACATCGCATCGAAGAAGCGGTTTCAGCAGCTCAGCCCCTCTCATGTGTTCATGTGGCGTTGTGTGTAATAGTACGCTATCAGGTTTCCCGCACAGGTTCTGCTCAAAGTGTGTCTAGTTCGTGTTGCAAAGCGCGTCAAATCACTTATCGCGACCAAACTTTCCGGTGTAGTGTGCTGTCTATCTTAGTGTTCCGCTACCAGAGAACTGCTCACTCGGAAAGGACATAAGCAGTGTCTCCGTCTAAGCTTCAAGTTCTATTTATAGCCTACATCAGCCCAGAGGCCCGAATCCTGGGCTTCCCGTTGAGGCAAGTAATTCACTTCCGTCATCTATCCTAGGAATTGCTAGGACCAAGAGACAGCTCATTCGTCAAGGGCGCAACCATCTCTGTACCCGAAGACCGCAATTGTCGCGTCAGATATCTTGGCGCTACTAATAGCACCGGAACCGTGCGCCGCTACCTTGAGGTGGGTCTTCTCAGCCTTCTTTAGCACTAGCCGGCTTCGATGGAATTCATGAGGCGCACGCGTAGTTGTGGGAAGGTAGAGCTGGGAGCTCTACCGTGGGTGAGGGCGTCCCGATAATCGGGTGGCATACTTCGTCATGGAATGGCTCGGACATGCGACCACTTGATTAATTCAAACTGTATCAAAAGATGTCAAGGGTCCCAGTTTCAGCCTCAGGGAAAACAAATTCATTCCGGGACAGAGATAATCGGCGATGCCATTGGCCTTCAGGATAACTAAATCGGGAGCTGGACGCATAACGCCGTAAAGTAGGGAAATTTGAGAACACAGGGTGTGAACTCCCTCACGCTTTGCCGCCTAGGACAATGCTAGCGACTGAGCAGCTGGCAGAAAGTATCAGACACGAAGGTTTCGCGCGACAGAGGTGTGACAACGGATGATGTGAAATGGCATCTGGAAGTGCGGAAATTGGCGGCGGCTGACGTTTTCAATAACTTAAGTCATGTCCATCCATCGACAGCGATTACATAATTAGTGAATAGAGACGAATCAAAGTGCCCCGACTTTCATGAACAAAAACGCCGAGGAGGCTGTGGATGTCAAAGACTATGCGAATGCCATATCTGAATGGTGATGGATAACCAGTGCCCTCGTAGCTGTGTCCCGGACGTCCTGGTTACATAACGGCAAAGCAATAACTGGCCGCCAACATGTTCAACGCCTGGCAGGTCTACATATTCCCTTCCTTTCCAGTACGAGCCTCATGTCCATCCCGCTGCAGGCCATCCCGAAGAAGGTCATCGATGTCAATGTTCCGCCATAAAGCGGCCAGCATCGTCAAGAATTAACCACATCACCGTAGCCCATCGAGATCACCCACCCAGCCATTTCCGAGGCCTCGCTGGTGAATGTGCAGATCTAAATTACAGGACCATAGCATGATAGTGAGCGGCTGACAGGGTACGGCAGTGCGCGGGTTACTAGCTGTATGTGTCACGGAAATCGCATAAAAGGCTGAGGAGTCTAAGGCGCATATTCTGAATCACCGTGTCAGTAGGCAGGATCGGCAACGCCTGGACTTAACTTACGTAAGGTCATGCTAGTAGAGGGCTCGTTTAATGACCGCGCGCCGCGCGTATGCTTCCTAGTACACCGGAAATCTTTATCAGGAATTTAAGTCTGTAAACGGAAACAGTCAGTCAAGGACGTTATGCATCTGCACTGCACATCTGGCAGTGCCCTTGCCATTGGACATTAGGTGATCGGAACTCGCATTGATGATGCGCCTCATACAACAAGTGGTCGCCGGGTACGTCACGATGAAGACTCACACTGCCGCCGGTGCAGTCGTAATCCGGTTTTCACGAACTCTTCTTGAGTTGCTAATGACGTTTCAAAGTTTGTCGGAACCGAGGACGCGGAACTTCATGCGTATCTCCGTCCGCCGCACCCTCGACAAACGCCGAAATGGCAGCGAAGCCTGGCACCGGTGTATTCGCGACGCACAGACACCGCCGTGAACCGTGATTCGTCTGTCAGCGTCTCCCATAGTGCGCAACCGGACGCGGCGGTCCCTTGTTCACGGGGAGGGGGGGGGGCGTCGTGGTGTGCTCGTCTCGTTGCGCC